TCTAAATAATCTAATGACATCCATTTTATGGTTATTATTAATTACTCTTGCCATTTTTATTAATACTGGCAATGGAGTTGCTGTTATGAGTATTGACATTGGAAGTGAGTCAATGAAAGTTGCCATTGTTTCGGTAAATATAAATTGTTTACAATCTAATATAAAATTTTGATAAATATTTTTAAATCTTAGTTTTATTGATAATATTCAATGATGTTTGTTATAGCCTGGTGTTCCTATGGAAATAGCTCTTAATAAAGAATCAAAGCGGAAAACACCAGTTACAATTGCTTTCCGAAATGGGGAAAGAACTTTTGGAGAAGATGCTCAAGTAGTAGGAATTAGGTCACCTCAAAATAGTTTTTCTTATATATTAGATCTTCTAGGAAAGTCAATAGAAAATCCAATGGTGCTACATTACAAGAAGAGATTTCCATACTATGATATAATTCCTGATTATGAACAACACACAATTGCATTTAAACTTAGTGAAAATGTTACTTATACACCAGAGGAGTTACTTGCACAAATTTTACATAAGGGAAAAGAGTTTGCAGAGAATTCAGCTGGTCAAAAGATCAGTGAAGCGGTAATAACTGTCCCAGGATTTTTTAATCAGGTGGAAAGAAGGGCTCTCATGCAAGCAGCAGAACTTGCTGGGATCAAAGTGTTGCAGCTGATCAATGATTATACTGCTGTTGCATTGAATTATGGAATTTTCAGAAGTAAAGAAATAAATGACACTGCTCACTATGTAATGTTCTATGATATGGGGGCAAGTAGTACAACTGCAACAGTTGTCAGTTATCAGAATGTAAAAACAAAGGAGAAGGGATTTGTTGAGACTAATCCACATGTTACTGTCTTGGGTGTTGGTTATGATCGTACTTTAGGAGGGCTAGAAGTGCAAATTAGATTGCAACATCACTTAGCTAAAGAATTTGATGCTTTAAATAAAACATCGAGTTCAGTATTTACAAATCCAAGAGCTATGGCAAAACTTTTTAAAGAGGCTGGCCGTGTTAAGAATGTGTTGAGTGCAAACACAGAGCACTATGCTCAGATTGAAGGACTAGTAGATGAACATGACTTCAGAGTGCAAGTAACTAGAGAAAAATTAGAACAACTTTGTTCTAATATATTTGAGCGTGTCACAGATCCTATTAAGCAAGCTTTGAAAACATCAGGTATCTTAAAGTCAGAATTAAATTGTTGTTTACAAACTTTTAAATAATTATTTTGAATTCATGTAAACTTTCAGGTTTGACAATGGACATTATATCTCAGGTAGTCTTAGTAGGAGCAGGCACTAGAATGCCAAAGATACAAGAACATTTAAGCCAGTATTTAACAGTAGAATTATCAAAAAATATCAACACTGATGAGGCAGCTGTATTGGGAGCAGTGTATAAAGCTGCAGACCTTAGTAAAGGCTTCAAAGTGAAGAAATTTGTTACTAAAGATGCAGTACTCTTCCCTATACAAATCACTTTTGATAGAATTGTTGATAATAAAGTGAAACAAGTGAGCTATAATTATAAGAATACTTTAATCTTTCAATTTTCATAGAAAGTAGGTTTAGATGGCTATAAACATCATTCTTTTAGGTTAAAAAGTCACTGTTCAGTAAAATGAATCCTTATCCACAAAAGAAAATAATCACATTTAATAAATTCACGGAAAATTTCCAATTTGATATTAAGTATGCTGAATTGGACTATTTACCTTCTAATGAAGTAGCGTAAGTACTCGACTTTACTTATCAGTTACTGTATAATATTCGTGTTTATCGTAATATTCTTCCCATTTCAGTGTTATTGGCGACATAGATTTTGCTACTATAACTTTGTCTGGTGTACCTGAAGCTTTAGAGAAACATGCTAAGGAAGGAGGAGAAAGTAAAGGAATTAAAGCTCATTTTGCTATGGATGACAGTGGCATACTTAATTTGCTGAATGTAGAACTGGTATCAGAAAAAACGAGTTCAGCTCCTGATGAAGAAGAGGGTACTTTCTCAATACTTGGCTCAACTATTAGTAAACTTTTTGCAGGTTTGTGTTGGATGCTGTGCAAAAAATGATACTTTAATTTCATTACTATGAATTCGGAAATCATTACCAAGTGATTAATTTTATTTATGTTTTTTAGAATGAATTTTTTTATATTTTTGTAGACGTAGTAAGGGAAAAAAGCATGCAAAATGTAGAACCATTTTTTGCAAGCATTTATAAATGCAATAAAATTTCTTCATTTTCCTTTGTTGTTGGGCCATATGTCAAACGATTATAAATATAATATTGAAATGAATGTGACTTATAAATTTCAGGCTCAGAAGATAAAGATAAAGAAACGAAAACAGAAGAATCTTCGAAGGAAGACGTAAAACCCGTTCATGAAGAACCGGAATACCCTGAAATTCAAAAAGAATCAGAAGATAAGACGAAGAAAAAGAATGAATCAGCAGTTACAGAGGATAAAACGGCAAACAAAACTGAAAAGACGGAGAAAGAGAAAAAGTCTACTATTGTAACAATCAAAGAACCTATTAAGGCTGAGGAAGTCAAATGGGGACCTCAGATCCTTTCCGGAGATAAGTTAACCGAGTCTCGTGAAAAGTAAATTAATATAAGTATTATTATAAATAGTTTTCTATTATATTTGTATTATAGCACGGATGTCGCATATTTTCAGATTACGCCGTCTGGATGAATTCGACTTTGAGAAAACTAAACGTGAAACGGCTTTAAATAACTTGGAAACATTTATAATTGACGCACAGCAGAAATTAGATTCCGAGGAATACAAAGTTGCTTCCACCCCTGAAGAAACAGAAAATATATTAAAAGCGTGTGCGGAAATATCTGACTGGTTATACGAGGATGGATTCACTGCGTCCGCAGAAGTGTTCGAAGAAAAATTAGCAGAACTTCAAAAATTAACTAGGGACTTGTATGAACGTGTCTATGAATATACGAAAAGACCAGAAGTATTAAAAGGCATGACTTCTATATTAAATGCTAGCACAAAAGTTTTAAGTAATATGCGTAACTTAAGTCAAACAGGTGATATTTTCACTCAAGTTGAGATTGAAATGTTAGAAAAAGTAATTAACGAAACTCAGGTAAATTGTTTTTCTTATATTTAAGGATTACATTAATTAACCGGAACGCTGTCTTAATCTTTGGATTAATTTTCTTATAGGAATACTATGATAATGTTGTTAAGTCTTATGCTGAAACGCCTCTCCATGAACCGGTGAAGTACAAAATTCGTGATATTACAAACACAATGGCAGTACTCGACAGAGAAATGAAGTATCTTGTTAATAAAGCTCTTATTAATAATAAGACATGGAAACCGAAACAAGATGCAACAACGAATCAGACGGAAAATGCAAATGAAAATGCCACAGATACGAATGACGGATCGCAGGCTGAAACTGATTCAAAATCAACAAGCGACTCTCAGACAGAGAAGCTCACGGAAGAAAGTACAGTGTCCGACAATGAAGAAGTACAAAATGAAAAGCCAGTAGAGGAAGATGCATCGGAAGACTCGATACCAGAAGAGAAAGAGACTCCGTCGAGTCACGATAGTGCCCAAGAAGGGGCGCATCAAGAACTTTAAGGAAAGGAAATTTATTTAAAAGTGTGTGACTTTTTATGATTGACCGATTGCGCTTCGGTTGATAAATTAGGCAATTTACTATGTTGTAGGGCAGGATTACGAGATGCATTTAAAGAAACCTAAATCAAAGTCACGAAATTGTATTATTGTCGCTGAACGAATTATTTCGCAAATGTGAATATTGAAATGTTGTTCTATTTAATTAAATACGTTTGTATGAGAGTCTATGAAATCAATTTATTCATTTCTTCATACAGGAAAGTAAATAAAATCGATACTTCACAGTGTCTCACATACAGAAAACGAAAACAATCGTAATGTTTATATAAAGGATTTTATGTTTTAAGTGCCAAGTAGTTGAAAGCTATTCGGGATTGTATTTAACATGATGTAAATTGCGAAACAATTTCAGATAATTACGACACAATCAAACAGCACTGTATTTTGCAGTAGAACATTTCTTATTGAAGTCATTATTTACAAATGACAAAATATTCTACTTGGTCAGATTTCAGTTCGTATGAATACAATATTTAATTGTGATACTTCTTGATACTATATTCCTAAACATGCTGTACGCTATAGCTTAAAGCTGATTTTTTTATCAACATCTACATCGAGCGTCATAATTACTTACATACATACATTCATACATACGAGGTGATGTCTTTATCAATAAGAATGTAATGTTTTACTCTGTATTGTTCATTCCTGATTAATTCATCCTCACTACAAGATGCCTAACTTCTATGAATCGTACGTGTGTTCCACTGTACCGATAGTATAATTCATTTTAGAATATGATGCTAATATACTGAATTTTGTAACTGTTTAATGTATACTATTTATTCTATGTACTCATGGTACTAAGCGAGCTAAATCTGTTTCTAATCATGTTATTCAAGAATTCGATAATCCTTTCGAATCATTCCAATGATTACATATGTAATTTAAAGTCCTCGATTGTGTTATTATTATTAAATTTTGGGAAAATAAAACAATGTGTAAGATATTAATGAAATTAGTACTGATATAAATCAGTGCAATGTCTTTGGATTATATTATTGCAAAGAAGGCATAGATATCTTACAAAAGTCTTCCTATAGTCGACACAATTTGATCTTATTTATCTTACGGTATTATTTAAGACAGTGTTATTATTAATTATGTACAATTCGTATATATATTTTAAGGAAATAGATATTTATATACTGTACACGTTATTATTATTAAGATGTTTTTCTTTCGCTTGTTTTTGTATTCCAATTATTAGCATTGGTATTGATCACGTTAAAATGAAAAAAAAATTGAAGATCAATTTGATGATACCTTCAATTTAATAAACAATCATTGTACTATATATTTGGTATTTACAATAATTACAATAAATTTATGAAACATATTTCTTTTAAGTTATTAACATTTTCTTGGCTACAAAACATTTTATGAGATTCAATATTTTTAAATACCGCGACACTTTTAAAACGCGCAATTTAAATTTTTCGCAGTATTTTGGTAAATTACTACTAGATGGCTCTGATCTGATGACTAACGATGAACATGTGAGTGGAGGAGTTCTGCTGTTTGTAAATAAATAATAAATTATAATAACTCGACTTTTTCACATTGATTTATAACAATATATATATTACACTTACTGGTGTCTGTATCTGAGTATTTGTCTCCGATTTCGTAGTAATAAAATCAACAATATACACGTTACATTATATGTTAACGATACAATAAAGTTTCAATAAATAATTAATTATGATTTTGCGCCAAATCGCCAGCAGATTGCTGAAGAGGGCTGTTCCTGCACTGGTAAATATTTTGAAAATTCTATTGTGGCAAGTTATTTTATAAATTCATGTACTTTTTTTCATTGCACAGTACGCTACAAGTTTTATATTTAATAATCAATCAGAAACAAAAAGACCTACAGTAGAAGAGAAATTAAATCTTGAACCTCCAGATATTAAGAAACTAACTGTTGAATATATGATACAACAGTCAATAGTAGATTCTATAAATAATGCAACTCAAGCACTGAACATTGCTTACATGGCAGTAATGAGAACAAGTAATGAATATAAGTTTGTATTTTATTGTTACAATCATATAAGGTTACAATGGTAACATTCATAACGATGATTTATGTTTTTCTTTAGGAGTTTATTATGTTCACTAATTTCTTTAACAAAGGATACTTTAGAATTTCATGTTAATGATGAACATTGGGACTTGATAGTTGAAACAAGATCAGAAGTACAAACTAAAAAGGAACAGTTAAACGTAAGAGTAAACATAACAAGTTTCTATTTATACATTCTGATCTAATAGTAAATATTCTAATATGTATATATATATTTGTTATTAGAAACTAACAGGGTATGTTCAATATGTACAAAAAATGGCAGTAGCAGCGTCGGATCTAAGTTACCTTTCTGGAATGGATAATTTGTGTTTCTCACTGACTAAACAAATTGATGATGTCTTCAAAAGTATGCAACAGGAATCTGAGTTTATTGCAACATTAGAACAGGAGTATTGTGATATACAAGAACAGTGCATTAGGAATTGTAAGTAATATCATGATAGTTCAAAAATAAGTACATAAATGAATGATTTATTGTTATTTTTATTCTTTCAGCAACTAATTCAGACAATAAGGAGTCTACTGAATAATTTGAGAGAAATTTCATTATCTGCTCAATGTTCAAAACTTGTTTAAAATGTATATAATTATCAATCATTTTAATAGAAATGTTTATAATAAAAGTTATTAAAATAATAACAGGATTGTATAACTGAAGAGAATAAAGGATAGTGAAATTATATGCAGATCATTTAAAAGACTTTGGTTGCTTAGGCATCAAGATGTATTGATACAATATGTCTACCAGGTATCATTGCCAGACCAAGTGTTCTTGCTTCTGTGTGATCCTCAGATAAGAATTCAGTACATGATCCTAATATCACATTGGCATCACGATCAGTACATAAAAATGCTCCTATTAAAACTCGACCATCTGTCATTTTTATTCGCAAGTACCTACTCAGCCATCCACGTAATTTCTGTCTTGCAGGAGAATCCTTTGTACTAATGGCCTATCACAGTTGTACAATGTTACATTAATTTTCTATAAAATATCAATGTTACTAATAAAAAATATTTAACATTCATTATACCCTATGTATATAGTAAATTATCTAAACTTATCAAATGAATGTTTCTTTTTTATTTATATCTATTTTTTTTTAAATAACTTACTACATATTATTGTTCTTAAAGATAGAAAGTATTTAATATAAGCAATTCATAATACTTCAGAGGTTAGGAGGCTCGTTAATGTTTCTATAGTGGAACAATATTTATCTAAGGCAGCAATACATGATCATTTACAATAAAACTATCTTGTACATAAACATAAAATATTTGCATTTATAAAATTACCTCTCCATTCTCGTGGACGCAATCGTCCTTAGTTACATTGGAAACATTGTGTCCTTCTTTCATGTTTGTTATCAAAAATTTAAATACTGAATACAAATAGATTATATAAGTAATCCGTCCATTAATGCACGTCACAATTTGTTAACAACTTAATCGTTCCTTGACGAGCGCACTCTTATTATGTTGTTTGTATTATCAGAATGCATTTGCAAGTCGGTAGTCTTCCAGAAGACTTCTTCGTATACAGAGACTATTTGTAAAAGTTGACACTATTTTATGGTAAATAATGATTCCAAACAGTGCTATAAATTATCTACCAAAGACTTTCTCAATTTATATCTTCTTCCCTTCAATAAACTTCTTTTTAACCTCAAGCAAAAATATTCGACTTTGTTAACAAGTCGAAAAACATAACCACCTAGCCGCACAATGTATTACATTTGCTCCTTTTTCATACTTAAGTATGCCACAGATAATTCATACCGTTTTTATCGTAACATATAGTGCATATAACGGCACGAATCATCTGCTCTCTAAAATCTGTACTTTTGACTACTGGCGCCATCCGTGGGAAAACGCTCAAACTGGTAGCCAATTGTTACCGATTGAAGAATTCATAAGGTCGACAGTGGCGCCATCCGTGGCAAAATGCTCAAACTGGTAGCCAAACTTTATCGACACTGCCTTCCAAATTTTAAATAGAAAACAAATGCACTGCCACCTACTAGGAACAATACTAATTAAATTAATAGTCTTAGTAGTTTCCCATAGATGGCGCCACTGTCAT